AAGTTGTTGACACATCTCTCACAACCATCTCGAGAATCGTTGAAACGATTATCGTCTGCGTATCGATCTGCATCAGATCGATACACTACTCGCAACGGTTTACTGTATTATACAGCTGTTTCTGGTGACACACCACGTGTTGTCATTCCAGATGATACTGATCTGCGTTTGCGGATCATGTTCGAGCATCACGATGCTCCGATAGGAGGACATCGTGGCCGGGAGAAAACATATCTCACGGTGAGTCGAGATTTTTACTGGCCCCGCCAGTATCAGTTTGTGCGAAAGTATGTTCGCGCATGCGAAGTCTGTCAACGAGTGAAGTCAAGTCCTTTACTGCGTGCACCTTTACAGCCTCTAACATTTCCGGCAGAGTGCTAGGAATCCATCTCAATGTATTTCGTCTTCGGGTTACCCAAAGACGCACGCGGGAATACGGGTATTCTCGTATTTGCTGACAGATTCAGCAAAATGGTACACCTTGTGGCTGTACCCGAGTCAATCACAGCAAGTGGCTGTGCTTGTGTCTTTATCGGCACCATCTTCCGACTTCATGGGTTGCCCCGCGAACTCGTATCAGACAGAGACCCACGATTCACTGCTGATTTCTTCCGTTCCGTGTTCAAATCACTCGGAACGCGCTTGAAGATGTCGACATCTGATCATCCAGAGTCAGATGGTCAGACGGAACGTGCCAATCGTGTCCTCGAAGAGATACTTCGAGGGTACGTACACTCCTTTAAGAGTTGGAGTGAGTTCTTGCCAATGGTAGAGTTTGCCATTAACAACTCGGTGCATGCGCCCACGACACATACACCGTTTTACGTGAATGGCTTACGCCATCCGCGTGTACCCACCTTACTAGAGTGTAACTCTGGTTTAAGGGGGGGAGGGACTCGCGCGAGCAAAAACCGAATTGGTTCACGCTCATCACGCTCTGACGAAGAAGTCATTGCGTTTGATGCCGATATCGATAACATCGATATCGAAGAAGATGATGCCAGTGAGAGTGCGGAAGCCCTCACTGAAGAAAAGATTGATGTTACTGCAGTGCACTCACAGCGCACTGAAGCTAACGAGTCATCAGATGAGTTCATACTGGCTCGTGAAACGGTAGTCCGTTTTGTGCAAGACTCCATCGCCGAAGCGGTGGATAAGCAAAAGCAAAACGCTGACAAGAATGGAAGGGCAAACACTCTTTTATTCAATAAGGGTGACTTAGTCCTACTGTCTACGATAAACCTACCAAAGCATGTAGTGACTAACTTGGGTAGTAGTAAACTTCTACCCAAATACATCGGCCCATTTCGTGTATTGCATTGCCTAGGCAATGCATACACGATCAAATTGCCACGTAAGATGCGAACGCATCCCACGTTTTACGTTGGTCGGTTGAACCGTACCATCAGTACGCTGCTTCTTCCGATGAAGAATGCCCTTGCGCTCAAGCATCTCGCAGAGAGCCTTGTGCTCCCGATGGTGGGCATCGACAAGGGTCTGAAGAGCAATTAACTCAGCCCGAGACCGCTCAACATCCCCACGAGCTACCCTTAGCTCGTCACGAAGAGATGTCAGAGATCTCTCGTTCTCAAGCTGAGCAAAGGCAACCTCAGCTCGATGCTTCGAGGCAGTGTCCGCCATTTGGAGACGCCTATTCCGCTCATGCTCGAGATCGTCGCGTAACCCTTGCGTTACGCGATCAAAGAAGCTCTGGGGAACACACGCTCCCCCACGATAGTTTGGAGAGCGTCTTCCCTCCTCCTCCACCTCCATTAGAGGACTCTCGCGGTGGCCAGAGCTATCTGGTTGAGGAGCTGTTGAACCACCGCGACGTGAACGGACGTCGGACGAGTTATCTCGTCCGGTGGCGCGGCTATCCCCCGTCCTGGGATACTTGGGAGCCCCGCTCCCAACTGATGATTGACGTACTGGGTCTGGTTGAGCAGTACGACGCGGCACATCCTGTGCCGCAGAAGGACCGCCGGAGAAAGTCTTCCCGACACGGTCGTAAAGGGATTTCAGGTTGTCAATCTCTTCGTACATCTCAGTAGAGATACGTACGCGCCACCACGGGCTAGTAAGGAGGTAAGCCTCCTTAGGTGCGCGTGCAGAGTTGTTCACACAACATGGGCACGAGTCTTCCCAAGAGAGGCAGGGTAATCCTTTCTCCCTAGACAGACGCTGCAGCTTGTAGCGTGCACCTGTCGGGGTTCGCTTTTCAAACTTATCACGAGCTTTGATAAGTTTGTCGTTCCAAACGTCACGACCTACATCCTCAAGGTTATGGATGTAGGCGTTCCACGCTTGAAGCAGTGAGGGAACATCACTTTTGTGATTCCCACTGTACCATCGATGTCTGAAGAAAGCATCAATGAAGAATTCATTCTCAGCGCGATAGTTTTTCGTGCTGGGGTCAAGGTGATGGATCCTTGACGAATCGAACAACCGTGTTCGATAACGATCACTCGTCGTCGCCGACAAGTGATCCATGACGGATTTGGGAGGCATCCATGCCTTCTTCTCAGGGGCGAGACGCAAGACACTGCGGTCCCGCTCTTCTTGCGACGTGCCGACAGAAGTACTGGCACCTTGTTGCGAAGTGGTGTCAATAGGAGAACCGACACCACTGTGAGCGCCCGAGTCTCGCGACCTCGAGCGCCTTCGCTTCGGCGATGGTTTATCTGATTCATCGGATGAACCAAAGATGCTACGACGCATAGCATCATCCATGCCACGCTTGGCAGGCGGCTTGGATTCGATCACCGTCAATACGGATCCGTCTTCCGTATCAGGAGAGTATGAGACACCGAGCTCATACTCTGTGAAGACATGAGTGTCTTCATGACGAGTGCCTGCATCACCAGGTGACACAGGCTGAGTCGCTTCAGCAACCGATGACACATCAGTTGCTGCGGTTTCTGTTTCGGCGTCCGCACAGAGACGTGCGGACGCGATCTCGGCGGCCTTGCTCGCGCACCGCATGGGCTTGTTAACCATGCGATGAGATGTTGGAAAGTGGACTCGGACCAACAAGTGCAAACCCTGTCCCAACTGATTTGGGACGAGTATCCATTTAGTCAATCAGTCACTAAAGTGACTGATGGTTAAGGGGGGGTGATGTAACGGGGTGAATCGCTACATAACAATTTATAAGAAATTGTTGGTAGAATATAACTATGAGAGTTATATTCTCAGAATTTTGTCATAAGGACAAATATTATGCAGCACTTACGAGTAGTTCCTAATTGGTTGATATAGGCCATTATATCAATCAACGAAGACGCGCCACGACAGACGCACGCAATGAGTGGTGAGCAGATAGTTGATATGTATATTTGTATTCAGACATAGTTAGATGAGAATAAATAGTGATTGATTAACAGACATTAACTATTATAAGTACAGTTCTACTTTTTACTTTAACCAAGTACTCGCTTCTTCTTACCGTCTTCCTCTGCACGTACGAGTGTACGTGAAGTTCCGAGGCACCGCCTTATTCTGTTACCAGAATAAGTAGCTTGTACTGTCACCAGTACAAGCTTCAGGGTGCCCCGTTACAGTCTGGCCATAACTTATAAGTGTGCCGTAAACCAGCACATTCATCCTCTCCGTACACCCGCTCCTAGACGCACACTATCTAGCAGCTTCATATACTACCAAAGTCGTTAACAACAAACATGGCGAGGTGTGCAATGATTAACAAGCAGAATAACTATGTATGGGACTCTATGGTGACGAAGTAGCAAAAGCCATGCGTCGGAATATTCAGACCAAGCACATGAGTCTGTAAATATGAGATTGGATGTTCGATCTGAGTGTTGTGCCTTTCTAAATCTGACTAATCAGAAGGCTCAAATTCGATAAATGTAGGCACTTATTGGGGGTGGAGGTGGTCAACGAACCCTAGTGAACGGGTCCAAGTTTATTCGTAAACCTCGTCTTTTACATCATGAGGTAGGATGTAAGCGTTGCTCGCTGACTGATGAAGCGCTTGGGTGACCGTATGTTTGCTACATGTACATTTTACGCTCGAGCATTTGCTGCAACAGTATGTTAGTCAATAGTGTGGAGATCACTAAAAAGCATGTATTGAGCACCGAAAGTGTGGTATAAACACTATTTAAATGCGCAACCAGAGACAGGTGGCGAGAATTTCGGCGCCGCGCACGGAAGGCGTACCCTAGTATCAACTTTTGATGTTAGCTCGCAAAGCCCTCGATCACTTACGTTTGTTTGCACCAGAAAAGACGTGCCAACAAGTATAAGCGGGTGCAAAACTATGGCCTTGTTGCTGCTTTTATAAATTGCTTGAAACTACGCTCTTATGCTTATCATTGAGTACACTAGCTCACTAACAGTCAGTGCACGTCAGTCATAGCTGCTTTTGTTGCATTATGTTCCATCGAGAACTGAGCTGTGGAGATCCTCCCTAGACAGCGGCAAATGCGTCGCTCGGTCGACACCAGTGCCTGCCGACGTTGTTGGCGGTAACACCATGTTCCTAGGGAATCGGCCTGTCTAAAGAAACAATAGGTGAGTAATTCACTCACTACTTTTGCTCAGAATGAACAGTGTAGCAATACACTCTACACATAGTTACGAAAGACAGTACAATTTCATGAGATCATGAAAAACAGTTGAATTGTCCAGCTTTAAATAGACAGCCACACATTTCAACGAGGTGAGAAAACCAAAAGACCACGTAATCTTCCTATTTAGCAGATATGACAGATTATCGGGTCGAGAAGGATTTTACGAGTCTGGTCATCAGCACCTCAGTACAAAACGCAAGTTTTCTTATCATACGCGGGGATGCACGCGTTGCTCATACATTCCTTGACTGTTGTTTGTGCTCAGTTGTGTGATGCCAAGCTAAGCATCCAACGGGGATCGACCACCACACCGATTCGACTACAAACGCTATATATTCCATCACCTAACGAGCCATTTGATTTCTATTTCCTTGGCTCGACCATGCTGTACAACATGACGTTCAACATCTAAACTACCGGCACCACGCGCGTGTCCGCCCACGCATGTTTCGGATCCGTCCACACCTGCACATTCTCGAAAGTTGCATCTCTCGAAGCTATCAAAGCAATACCGTCTGACTCGGTCTGGCTGGGCCTGGTCTCGCTGGCACACGGGTAAATTCGGGCAGATAGTGCAAAGCGGCCGTTGAGAAACACTTCGACGCTCGACACATCCACAAAGACGTGGAAACTCAGTTTCTCGCGCGCGACCTCACACATGTCGTTCTTGGCAGTGCCCGTGAAGAGGTCGTAGAGGTAAAAGTGGCCCCACACCGGGTCCGACACGGGCTTCACGTGGTTGTCCGCAAACACCGCGCAGTCAGCACTCGAACTCTTGGAGCGGTCAATCACCACCTTCTTCTTCGCGTCGTCGTACACAATCGTCGTCACTTCGTCTCCGCTGGAGCTCCGACGGACTTCAAAGCCAACTTTGCTGCCACGCGTAAACTCCGCAACTTCTGCCATGAGCTCGAACGACGCTCCAGTTGACGTCAGCACTTGCGTCGACCCGTTCGTGGATACACTTGCCACTTGCTCCACTGCCTTCACATTTCGCAGCCGCTTTAGGTCTCTCAGAGGCTTCACGCCAAGAGTCTTGATGGTCTTGCTCTGCTTCGGCGACCCAATAAAGCACGGCACGTCCTTCGAGTCGGACACGATCCAGTCGCCCTTGCCCACGAGGTGGCGGTCCCGGTCGTAGATGTCCCGCACAATCGCGATCCCCACTTCTCGTGGCAGTGATAGAATACCGTCCCAGCCTTGCGGTTGTCCCGTCGCAAAGTTGTTGTCCTCGGTGATCCAACCGATGAGGACGTTCTTGCCCTCCTTGTCCGTGTAAATGCTGTTGGCATACCAGTCGCTGTTATCGGACACCCCGACCATCAGAGGAGTGAACAGCCCCGCTTCGGAAACATCCGTCTCGAAGTCAAACCCGTAGCCACGACTGGAGGCGAACGATCCCGTGGCCCACATCGCGTACCGATTCGTTTCTCCTTCTGCAGCAAACAGCATCACGTTGTGGAGCTCGCCGTCGTCGTCCACCATTTCACGGTAGATCGTGGTCTCAAAGTTGTAGCCCCAGCCTGCACTGTACGGAGAGAAGGTCGTGTTCTTCTCTTGGGCAAGCAGGTAGCCCTTGTACTCCCAGTTCACATAGTCCTCAGCATGGTACAGAAAAACGCGTGGGCCGACGTCCCGAAGACCACCAGCAACAATCAGGTAGTTACTGCTGCTGCTACTGCTATTGCTACTGCCGTTCTTACCAGAGGTGTAGCCAAAATGTCGATCTAGGGACTTGGAATGGAACGGCATCGGGTCCCGCCAGCCAGTCACGTCGAGACCTGGTGGTGGCCGTTCAATGAGAGGTTTTCGACCCTTTTGCCACGTCTTGCCGCCATCGTCCGTCGTAGCGTACACGACGTGCTCTCCGAAGAGATACTCCTTCCTCCACGCAATGGGGAGTGCAGTGACACCCGTGTAGAAGACCGTTTGCTTGCCGTCAATTGCATTGTTCATGGCAAAGCCGGAATACACACCGAGGCGATCCCACTTGTCTTCGAATGGACGAAGGGCGTCCGGGTAGTCCTTCCACGTCACTTGGTCTTTCGACACGGCGTGACCCCACGCGATATTTTTCGCTGTTGTCGAGTTCGGATTCAACTGGTAGAACAGGTGATACAATCCCGTGGCTTCATCATAGTAAGGGGCACATGGGTCGTTCATCCACTTTTCTCGAGCTTGGAAGTGGTAAACCGGTCGGAATTGATTGAAGAGGTCGGTCCCAGGCTTGGCCTCGATTGGATCGGCCTGGACAAGAGGTGTTTGGGAACTGAAGACTAAAGTGGTGGTGGTGGAGATACTGAGGATGATGGCCACCGCTCTCATACTTGCTTACAGGAGGAGATTGCACAAGTTTTTTCCAAAGCAGGATGGGATCCTGAAACGAGGAAAATGGGAAATGCCGTGCGAATTGACACGAAGGCGGTCGGGTGGACAAGTGCAGAAGAGCTAGGGACGATGTCTATCTTCAATATACTTCCAGCCGCTCTATTTCCTGATACGGAGACCAGTGACTATTGCTCATTTCTAGCTTAAACCTGGTCGACATCACTTGAGCTGTAGAAAGTTTCGAGTAATTCAACCTGGCTCAAGTTGAATCTGCCTTTGAGCTCTTTTTGTTAGCGTAACACGCAGAGTAACAATGCGCTTACTTCAAGAGCTGGATACTTAGCCGCGACATCGGTCTTTTTTCGCGTCAAATTTTGATCCATCGCGACAGTCGACTTTACAGAAAACGTATGGCTCCATTCTATGAACCAAAACGATCAGGAGGTGTAGAATAAAAGATCCTTCTGGTCGTACTTCAATCTAAAACGATCCCGTTTAACTTTATACTCCGCCCTCAAGCTGAGGTCCAGTTGGCCTGGTAAGAAAATCCAGCGAACTGTTGATCATTAACAGTAGTTTGTACGCACAAGGCCGAGAAACATCGCCATAAGTCATCTGCCTTCCTCATCTCTTGATCGTTTAAGTGCACGTGCTTGATGATCTCCACCCACAGCGGTCACTAATCAAGGTCACATCATCCTTAGCGATGGACCATTGTCATTTGACATTCAATGCCTCAAAGGACAGAAAGGGGTTTGATAGATCGACCGTACCGGGACGCTCCAATCGATAGCTTATTCTGATAAAAAATATGACAACACGTTACCTACAAAGAGTTTGATTGGCACCGTCACGACTTTAATTCAGGAGTTCTACCCTGTCGTCTCCATCGTGACACCAGCATCAATCACGACTTGGCCACAACTTTTCGCCTGAGGAGCAAGACAGGTAGATGCACGTCAACGAGACACGTTGTCTTGACAAGGCAAACCCCATCGGCCAAGCTTTTTCTGATATCATTCACCCAGGATGCGCTGCCGGATGGAATGTGGAAAGTGAGGCATATCTTGGCGTCTTCATTGACCTCCTGCGTACTTCCGCAGACCGCCGCGTCGCTACTGCCATCGCGGTTGTAAATGCTACTGCAATAAGGAGGCTGATAGGGAGGTGTGTTGCTCGAAAAATAGCCCACCTTTTCCAACTATTAGTGTATTTCACACGCTCCGAAGTAGCATTACTCCGACCGGCTCGGGACACAAAGGCAGAGAGCTCTTCCTTGGTCGTCACTTTGGCATCAGCAGCCATATCCGACTGCTTGTCCTCCATTTACTACAAGTCGTTCGCCGGAACAAAAAGCGGGATCGTCTGCTCCAATATCTACTTCACCTAGGGGTCATCTTCTAGTGTCATATCTTCAAGGGGGCAATAGTCAGACTCGATACCGATAGACATGCGCGAGCCAGGTCCCCGTTATTCCAAGTCGCACATGTGGGGGAAAGGTAGCAGGAACACAAAACACGTAAGATGGGCGAGATGTGGTAGAGGTCACCTCTTAGCTTCTGAAGCACGACTGAACGAACGTTCCCCACTTGTACAAGGCGCTTTCGGAAGCCGTCTCGAAGCTGAATACCATGTAGGAGCTATACCGGATGAAGAACTTGTATAGCTGGAAAAGCTCGTCCCAAACACATACTGCTCTACGTCCTCTTCACCCCGAATTCAATCGAACAGCATCTGGCAGCTGGTCAAATGAAGGCATTGACGTTACCGTGTATATTATTGCACCTTCGGAAACCTCGGGCGAGGCGGGAGCAGCCGTAGAGAACAGCTCGAAAATGCCTACAGTGATCTCGGCCAAGTACCGTGCGCGCCAAGGCTCTTCGTAAAGACAGTGAACGTCGACGGAGACTTGAATGGAAGAATTTATATGAGGGTGTGCCGGCGTAATGATCGGTATACCATGGGATCGATCGAACGCACTCTGGTGGACCTCTCACGTGTCGAATCCAAGTCCGGCATCGTAGACCATGTCCAACATATCGGGTTGTGACCATTGCCATTCGGGCAGCAATGGAAAACTCGCACAACCTTTTTTTCACAGGCTCAGCCGTTGGTATCGTGGCAAACGGATGCGACTGGTTCGCCAGGTGATTCCAATCAAGAATCCAATTTAACCGAGGAGATTCCTCGACGCCGCACCCACGCTCGCACATCTCTTAATACTAATCAGTATCAACGACGCAGTGGCACTAAGCCAAGATAGCACTGAACCCTGGAGCATTTATGGCTTTCGTTGAAGTCTTGTGAACGCTGACAAATATGTGATCAGAGCCAATGTTCTGGCTGAACTCCCCACTTGAAACAGGCAGTCGATGAAGAGCTGATCCATTCGCAAAGTGGGAGACCCCGGCGTCTTTTTTATCAGTCAGCAAAACGACCGAAGAAGCCGTCGTGGGTCACATGTACGATGCTACATATACGGCACCAATGTCCGAGTCGAGCCAAGATGATACGAGCCCGCAAGAAACAAAATTCCTTCGTCAAGGCAATGGTCTCTTCACTCAGCTCGCGGTCGCGTCCGACCATTTTGACCCACTGCGTCAGTATTTCCGATAACCGTTTCATCATCTGTGCTTGTGCATACGATCTCGATCTGCCTCTGTGAGTATGACGCTGGTAATGTAGCGTACAAACAACTACAAAAACGCGCTTGAATCCACCGATGGCTGCATCGGGTTCTCAAAAAACACTGCTGACTTCTGGAGCTCAGCATCATTGTGGTACAGTACATCCGGAACATCAGCCAGATACCCTTCCCAAACATCAGCCAGCAATTTAGCTGCAACTGCATCGATACCACACCTTTCTTAGCTGCTCGCTGCGCTGACCAGGCCAACTCGTTGAACTCTTCGTACTCTGGATTCAACATAAACTCAACTGACGAGCTTTTGATCCGGTCCAGTAGCATGTCGCCTCTTCATCCTCTTCCTCGCACTCTGACATCAGACTCGACAGCTTGTTGTGTTCGCGGCACATCTACATCTCGTTCATGTCAAAATGACGGTGCGAGCTGAAATGAGACATAGAATTATGATGAGGACGCATGCGCAAAGACTCAGACGTAGATACACTATCCGTATTGTTGCAATCCAAAAGTCACTATTCAGCGCATTTCGTGTCTGGTGTCTATTGCGCGTACGCGGCTAATCGCTCTCATCCAAGCAGTTCATGTCCTGACCAGTCGACGAATCGATTACTCAGGACGAGACGGTGCACGAAATACACGGCTTCTAAGTGCTCGACAGAACACATCCAATGTCCTCCTTCTTTTCCGATCTCATGAAATGATCACTACCTGCCGCTGCCGCTTGTAAAGTCGAATTGCCATCACAGGATAAACCCGCCTTCGCTTCTTGTACTGGCACTCTGACGTGCACCCTTCACCACATAGAAAACTGACGCAAATCAATGGGTCATCACCAACTCTACGTCTTCATAACTGCATTTTCCCCTTACTTCTCCAACGAAGAGATCGATGTGATGCACCGACAAGATAATAAAAAATGGAGCAGCTCAACGACTTCTTTCGACAAGCCCGTTCCCGTTTGCTCACGTCTCGATCCAAGAAGCAGACGAGCTTTTGCTCACGCTTGCACCGCTCTTCCAGAAGCGTCGACGTCCTCGCAGCCTCCGCCTCTGCACCTTCGCAAACTTTTCTGCCTAGACATGTACACTTGTCTCCCTGGCCGTACATCTTTCGCCCTGGATGATGAAGCGTCTGGAGCGCTCCACAGCGTCTTCGAAAGCTCGACAACTCCTCGATCTTTGTGACACTGCACGACCGAATTGAACGACAGATTTTGACATCGTACGGCTTGCCGAAGGCCCAGCGTCGGGCTTACAGATCACCGATAGTGTATGATTTTAAAAGTTAACCTGTGCTCAAGAAAAGCCGATCAAGAATCTGCAGCGAGCGAGAATACGAAAAATAATTGTTCTCGTCGACAGCTACTGCTTGTCCCGCAGCAGAAGCGACGTGGAATACGGAAGGCCGCATCAGCGCGTCTTTAGATGATTCGACGCCCTAAATCGGGCTACCGAAAGGGGGAGCTGAGAAGTGATAGTGAAGAAGAAGGAGACGCGAAAAGCGACACGTGCACGTGTAGGACTTTGCGACTTGCGGGTGTGGGCACTGCTGACGAATGACGGACGAAATGTTGACGAAAGTGACGATGAAGACGTTGGGTTAGGACTTTGTCGTTAAGTTTGTGTTTCCTGCTAAAGCTGTATGTTAGACGTTCTCTTTTGCTCTTTCATGTGGTTGATGGATCGGCAACTAACGTCTTTTCTCGTTAGTTGATCGAATCGAGTTGTAAAGAACATGAAGTGTCTAGGCATTGATCACCTCTCTCTCTTACTATCTCTCTTGTGTATAAGGAAGGATAAACATCCAACGAAAAAGATAAGGATCGTTTGTTTCAACGACCGGTCTCAGCGCATGACGAACCCGCTGCTCGAGAATCTCTTTTCTGACGTACATTTCTCAGTCATTCCGGTGCCTCGGTCCTTCATACGATTTGTTCGTCTACTTCAGATTTACATCAGCTGTATCGCTTCCATTTTCATCCGGCACATCGGATCCTGAACTACGAGCTTCAAACTATTTGTACAATAAAGACAGCTTCTTGGGCAGATGTCAGACCAATGTCATGCTCTTGTGCAGAAGGTTCTGACAGTTGCAGAAGATCGATTCTTTCACGCGCTCGAGCAAGTGCATAAGCGCATTTAAATCCGGAGCAAGATCGTCAGTGTGTAGACAACACATTCTGCTGGTTTGCAGAAGGTCTTTCGCAGGACTTTACACTTCTACGTTATCATTAGATACTACAGTTGCATAGGGGATTGGGTGTTTGTAGCACGAAAAGTGATTGCAGCGTCCTATTTTCAGCTAAATGATCGCGACAGCACCATGTTGACACACACACACTCGAGAGCAGTAGTTGGCCATAAAGAGGGGATCCTAAAAAACAAGCAATTCGCCTGGAAACAATTTATAGCCGCAAATTAGTGGATAGTCGCAAAATTAGCAAAAAGCCACAGAACGATTGGATTACCGCGAAATAAGTACATATCCTAAAACTGTACGAACGGCCTCCAAAAACGTAATTTTTTCCAACAAATCTCTGAATATCTAAAAACCTACCACAGATAATGTGCAATTTTCTGTACATTCTTGCTCCCACACACCTGGCCTCGGAAACTCATTCCTATAAATGACCACAATGAATGGACCTAGTTGGTCTCCTTCGAATTCCCTATCAGCAAAAACCTACATCAATTTAGATACCAAAGGAATCTACTCATGCCTCTACATATGAGCATGGCTCTGTAATTACTATACAAACTCTGGCTCAATCTTCTATTTCTCCATACATAATACATGTGTGGCTGCGATGCTCTCAGGGAATAGAATATCGCACTCGGTCGTCAAAAGATTCAGATCTGTGACAAAGGTCAACAAAAGAGTGGACTTTCCTTAGGTGTTTGTCCTTCTTCTGAAGTACGAAAATTGAATCGTTGCGCGTGACATCAGCTGTACTATTGGTCCGTGCTCTCGCCGGGTTGCGTAGTTACACTCAAAAAGTAAATTGTGGGTAGAAATAGTGCAGTTGACAGCAGCCGCTACTCAATGACCACGCCATCCATTCTTAATGGGGTACCCAGTCCGCGGGCTCCTCATCGACTTTTGTAACGCTGATAATATTTGCCACCACCTTTGTCGATGTACAATGACCTAATGCTGGCGTTATTGCTATATTATTGTTGCGGGCTACGCCTATTCACCCTTTTACTGGTTTGCCTCGCCCGGCAACTGGTTATAAACTCTATATCAGATCCTTTTTTAAACAGCCCTTAATTCATCAAGTTTTGTCGATCTAATCATAATTACCTAACGAATTCTACGTTTTGTGAGGCCATTCTCATACTTTTTGACGACCCAGTAATTTGCGGCTATTTACTTGTATCAGGCGAGTTGCTTGTTTTGTTAGGCCCCCATTAATGGGCTTCTGCGAGACAATTTTCTCCGGCTACATTTTGTACCACCGCAGCGCAACGTTCGGTTTCATGTCATACGAAACTGTTCACGCCCACACACTTTTAAAACGTAGCTCTTCAAGTAGAGGCTCACAATTTCGACAGTGATATGCGTGTCGTAAAGTCGTCACTTTTAAAACGTAGCTCTTCAAATAGAGGCTCACAATTTCGACAGTGATATGCGTGTCGTAAAGTCGTCACTTTTAAAACGTAGCTCTTCAAGTAGAGGCTCACAATTTCGACAGTGATATGCGTGTCGTAAAAAAAGCAATGCATAGACTGGACTCCGAATGATCTGCATTGAGTGATCAAATTACGAAAGAAATTATACAATCATTTAGTAGTCTTATGATCTTATATTTACTATCCATTTTGCGGTACAGAGAAGTAGTTGAGGTTTCGCTACAGTTTGTGGGCCCATAAACGTTGGCTCCTGCTGACATCCTCACGAAAGACCAATACTTTATGTTGGGCTTATAATAAGCGCATAGAACTATACTCGTTTCATAAATTACTACGGCGATTTAGCACATACAATGCCTCCAATTTTGTTTTATTAATTATATCTATGTTTTAGCAAAAATGTCGATTCCACGTTTGGATATTTTTATCGGAGAAATTAAATGCAAGTATCTTTTGACCACGTTACGTTGAAACAAGATCCAGCAACGCTTCAGGAGAATCCAGGATAAAAGTCGCCGATATCAAAGTTCTGGCTGTAATGAATACCTTTTCTCTGTTAGTGTTAAACTTATAGCAATCGCAGTGTTGTGCTGTAAGCTCTATGGTGTGCGACACTACGTATGTTTGCACTACCACTAGAAACGCTAGCATTGACGCGACTACATTGCAGCTACTTGTAGCCCCACGCAAAATCCTGTTAAATGAAACTGATTTGTGCTAGGTCCTTGATCTACATGCTGAAACTGGTGTACCTGTGAAGGTGCCGTCACTGGGCTGGACTTGGGTAGGGATGGATGGTCCTTGGACAGGTGAAGATATTTAACGAAAAGGAGATCTGGCACCTGTTGTTTGTCCATGTGCTCACGAAATGGTAGATGTGTAACTGAAAAATATATTAGATGACTACAATGCAAATTAGAATCCGTACGTTACCTAGAACTCCCCTGTGCCTTTTCCATCAGTCTCCTCTTGCCATCAGTCGCTCGCCTCTTGCCATCAGTCGCTCGCCTCTTGCCATCAGTCGTCCGCCTCTTGACATCAGTCGCATCTCTCTCTAAAAGTCACTGCGTTTTAACACTCCTTCCCGGGATGTCCTCACACCAGCGACATGAATTGACGCAGTTCACGTAGTCTCGGGGCAGCAAATGTCTTGATGAGCACGTCAGCCCGCATCATCCACCTTAAGCACTCCCTTTTGGCTGTAATCCTTAACAAACTTGTGTCGGACGTCGATATGCTTCGCTCTCCCCGAGCTGTCCTCGCTAGTAATTTGTTTAATAGCCGCCTGATTGTCAACATGCAGCAACATTGGAGCTGTCACCTTTCTTTACAATCTCATAAAGGAGCTCACGCATTCCCAAGAGCTCGCTTGCAACCAGCGAACCTGCAACAAACTCTGCTTCCATAGCATATAGAGCCACGCTTGCTTGCTTTTTGCAGACCCAACCCACGATCATCCCGTTCACACACAGCACGCCACCACTGACAGATTTGCGATCCTCACGATCCGCCGCATAATCAGCGTCACTATAGCCTTCGAGTTGCACACGTCCATCCTATATCTATTCTTCAAAGTCCTTCATCCGAAAAAATAATTCCATCGTCCCTTTCAGATATTTAGCAACCCGTTTAGCCCATCGCCAATCGCACTCACGTGGTGCATGCGAGCGTCGGCTAGCTCGGTTAACGGCAAATGCGATGTCAGGTCTTGTACAACGAGCGATCCAAAGTAGACTTCCAATCAGCGACTGAAACGTGTCAATTTTCGGTTACTTTGCTGTTCCACCGCTCATTCCAATTAGTGTATCGCCTTCACCCTCACCGTCTGGATCTTCTCCAGTAGGGGTTCGTGTTGGGTTTGCCAGGTCAAGTCCACTTGTGGCAAGTAGCTCTCGAATGCACTGTTTTTGCTCAAGTGCATACCCATTCTTGTCGTCGTACGTTACTCCCATGCCAAGAAACTTCGTCACTAGCCCAAGGTCTTTCACTTCTAGCACGTTCATGTCTTGGAATAACTGGTCAACAAATGTCGTATTTGTTCCAGTCACCAAAAGATCGTCTACATACACGCCGACGATCGTAGTTCCAGAGTGATTCCAGTTGAAGTACAGGCAACTGTCGGTGTAAGATTGCACAAAGCCCAACTCGACGAGTGTCTTGTGCAGGAGCTCAGCCCATAGTCTTCCAGCCTGCTTTAGGCCATAAAGGCTTTTCTTCAACCGCAAAGCAACTTGGCCTCTTTCACCTTTATCGGCTACCTTGACCTTATTCCCATCCATAATTTCCCTTAAGGAAGATGCAGGTAGATCTCCAGGTCGTCCTCCTTCTCCGCCTTCACGTATGCGTTGGGGACATCACTGTGTCGCGCAGGAACGCGCCATACCCTTGCAAGTGCAAGTACAACTTTGGCCGTTGTCATATTCAGCACTGCACTAAATGTCACGGTATAGTCAACGCCATGCGATTGCTCATTCTCGCAGGCCACCAACCTCGCATTGTATCGCTCCAGCGTACCGTCAGCATGCCGTTTGGTTTTATATACCCATTTCGAGTGCAACATCTTTTGCCCATAAGGTCTCGGTACGACTTCCCAAGTGCCGTTTGCCTCGAGCGACTCGATCTCGCCCGTCATTGCTTGCTGCCAACCAGCCGAGCGCGGTGACTGCATCGCTTCATGGTAGTTCTCAGGGTCTGTTGTCACGGCAATCATGGCAACGGGTACATGCTTTGTACCCATGTGTCTCGTGGTAATTCGTCTGACCGGTGGCTTGTCTAAGTTAACTTCCTCAGCGTCTTCCACAGTAGTGTCCACGCGACACGACTTGCCTTTAGATCTCTTGCCTCGACTACCGCGCTTCTTTTTTTCTTTTCCACAGCTCTGCGGCTCCTTCCGATCAGCGGGGTTTCAGTCATTAGACGCGTTAAAGGTCAACTGCTCCTTTCGTTTGCCAACTTTCTCGTGTTCCGGCATAAAATTCTTGAGCGTCAGGTCCTCACGTCGAAGTTGCCCCTGGAAGTGACGATTTCCATCTTCATCCAGCTTTTCAACATTCTTGACGTGTTGTGTAGTCACAACCACTCGCTCGCGCGGTATGTAGACCTTGTAACCCTTCGTTTCGTCATGCTTACCAACAATTATACCGATATCAGCCTGAGGCTTCCATGCTCTCTTTCCAGGGCTGCGGTAAATGGTGCACGGGCTCCCAAATACAACGATGTCAGATATACTGGGGATCTCTCCAGTCAACATCTCCAGTGGCGACATACGCTTTGGGTTCGCACTGCTGGGACTGAGATTGAGAACATACGTGGCATCTAGAACCGCGTCTCCCCAGAAATATAAGGGTAGACCAATCGCAAAAATCATGCGCCTCGCCATGTTCAGCACTGTGCGATGCATTCGCTCTGCTTTCCCGTTTAAAGCTTGATTATTGGCTTCACTGACTAAGCGTCTCACTCCCGTAGACTTGCAGAACAAGTCAACACACTTGTATTCACCTCCTCCATCAGTGCGTAATACGTGCACCTTGCAGTTGAACATTCTCTCGAAGTAAACGAGAAAATGCCTAAACATCTTTGCAGCCTGATCCTTAGTCTTGGCCACAAAAACTCGACAGTAAATCGATGCGTGATAGATAAAATTTACCATTTATCGGTTCTTGTTTCTGTCGATGGGCATCATTGGCCCCTTGAGATCGCTGCAAATAACTCCTCCGATGCGATCTATTGGAGAGTTATTGCCGATGTCCTTCTTTGACTGGACGTTCTTTCCTTGCTTCCCTTGTGCACAAGTAAGGCATTTTGGGCGAATGCGGTTGATTAGGCAGAATCCTGATGAAGGACGCGTCGGCCATCTTCTCAACGGCATTGAAAGAGAGGTGTCCCAATCGCTTGTGCAGTTCAAATAGCGTACACTTAATCTTGCCATCGTTCTTGGTCTCTTGGTCGATTGCACGCATAACTGCATACACCGCATCGCGTCTAACTGCGGACGTAGAAGGCGCCTCCCTGTCTATTGTTAGGATAGCATTTTACTTTATGACCTCGAACACGTGCGCCCCACCACTTGTACGCTTGAGATATCGCTGTCCATCCGTGTACAACAGCCCCACGCCCCTTTTTTCCAGCTCGTAGAATGACAGTAAGTTGTGCGCGAAAAATTTGGCATAAAACACATTACTGACCGTGACTGATCGTTGCTCACCATCGACGCGCACCAGCATGTTTACACTGCCAACCTTGCTGACCTTGATCATCTGACCGTCGGCTACCTCGCATGAGTCGTCACAATCCTTTGCATCCACAAGCAATTCTGGGTCCTTTATCAGGTGACGGCTTGCACCACTGTCCAGGATCCAGGTGTACTTCGAGGTGTCGTTGCCATTCGCTACGCTCAATGCGAACGCTGCGTGCGACGTGTCAGCGCTCTTCTTGCAGTCTCGCTTGATGTGACCGATCTAGTTGCATTGGTAACATCGCTTTTGATTCTTTGGCGCCACCACGTTTGCTATGGTCCTGACGCTACCACGACCGTACCCTCGGCCGTTTGAAGGGTTCCTCGCTCCACTGTCTACACCCGCATACTGTTCGAAAGTGCTCGCAAAGTCTGCTAGCTCCCAAGCCTGTCTTTAGTGATCTTCGCGACGCCTATCCAGACGAGTATACATCGCTCGTCTCGTTTACGGTGTCGCGCACTCGCAGACATACTGAAGAACGAACCGTTCGGGGCAGTTCGCTGCTCCCGCTACCGCGATCAAGTATTGATACTGATCAATCCAGGTTTTGTTGCTCGTCTTTCTCGCTTGCATCAATCTCATTGCTTGGTCAACCGTTATTTCTTTCTTGTACACCTCAAACATCGTGTTCATCAGGTGCTCCACGGTCACACTTCTGTCGCCCAGCCAGCCTTCATTTTGTCGAAGTATTTTCTAGCTTGGCCATCCAGGTACCGGTTGAATGTTTTCAGCTTAAAATCTTCTGGCCAATTACCCCCACTGACAAGCTGAGCCGCAACGAGCTCATCTAGAAACTGCAGACCCCAGTCCTTAGATCCAGATCCCAGCCCTGGGTATTCTTCCTTGCCCGTGAAACGTTCAATCGGTAACTATGTGTCCTTAACGCTTGAGATCTTGTATTCATGGTTTTGTGGTGGTCGAAATTCTCTTCCAGCCGCCGGCTCCTGCATTGGTGGAAAGAACTGCTCCGGGGCTCGATTCTGCTGCGGCGGTGCCATGAATGGTGGTGCGGGGTTTGCTGGTGCAATCCCAATCGCTTCTCCATATGAGTCCGCTCTTGCTCTACCATTCTTCGCCGCCAATAACTGGATAAATACGCTTCCTGCGCTTGTCATGTGGACATTGGACGCGGCGATAGGCTGTTTGGTCCGATCTTTTCGTTTCCGCGCCAGATCGCGTATCAAGCTATCGATTAATCCTTCCAATCTGTCCATCCGGTCGCTCTAATATTCAGAGGCTCCACTCTCACTCTTTCGAGGAGATACCGCGCCGTCACTCGCTCCTGCGCTGACCCGGGTCATGGTCGGGTCTGCAGCATTGGTATCGGTGTTGGCAGCGTGAGTGTCTGGTGGGTCCGTTGGGCTCATAACCTGTTCTTTGTCCATGTGCTCACGAAACGGTAGATGTATAACTGAAAAATATATTAGATGACTTACAATGCAAATTTGAATCCGTACGTTACCTAGAACTCCCCTGTGCCTTTTCCATCAGTCTCCTCTTGCCATCAGTCGCTCGCCTCTTGCCATCAGTCTTCCGCCTCTTGACATCAGTCGCATCTCTCTCCAAAAGTCACTGCGTTTCAACAGCACCGTAATTATGTTTTTGCTGAACAAGCACAATGCTGCAAGAAGCAGAGCGACAGTATGCCTTTCGGCACAACAGAGAGACGACAAAGCATTGTTTGTGCGTGGAGGAATCGGATGCGTTTCGATCAGTGATCACTTTAAAGAGACAGGTGATACCTCAATCAATAGTAATGGTTGCAGAACGTTAGGCGTTCAGATGAAGTAGCGTAGAGCAACAAGTTATGCAACCTAAAAACGCGTTACATACACATCAATAACGACTGAAAACAAAGCAAAATGAACAAATGTACATTTTGGATCAAATCTTAACACTTGACACTTTGAATGTCGACTACTGCTTTGCTGAATAACTCGAACTGGCTCGAGTCATTTTGGCAATTCATTGTATCACCTGCAAAGCAGGAGCAGTTTTGGGGGATGTAGGGACTAAAGAGGCTGTAGCAGAAAGCAGGATCATGTTTTATGTCGCATGTGCTGGGCTGGACGGGCGGGCGGAAACACTGGAAATAATGGTCTCTAGTTACTGATGAGTTCAGAAGCAGCAACGGAGAGTACAGCAGCGCTGAAGACGGCGGAGACTGACGTGAGTAGAATACTTCTGGATGATGACAATTGAGTGGAGTGTGGTCCTGTAATCTTCTCTCTGTTCAGCAAACTACGAAATGACGCCTGACAAGAAATACACAAAACTGGAGGGCTTTAAATGAGCATTGAGAATTTGATAAAGGGATGGAGGTCGTCGATACGATAAAGAAGGGAAGGCGTATCGCGGAATCCCGATGGTAGCTTAGTGCTTACAAATGTGACGCTGAAGGTGACTTTTTAGTAACGCTATCGTCAGACAAAACTCTTTCAGAGAAGTTGCACTGTATAGAGTTGCAATATATAATAGGGAGGGCACCACCGCGCGAAGAAGAGTTCTCGTGGCCATCACTCGCTGTGCTGTCAATGACCGCTCGCAGGCAATATACATATTGCGATAATTGTAAATCAATTTCGTGTGACTGATGTCCGAGCCAGTAGTTGAGGTCGTATTGGATGTGATTCATGATAGCCGAACACTTTTTGAGCGTTTAATACGTGTACCTAAATAATTGCGTTTACCCACGGCGGTATTTTAAAGCAAGGGCTCCATCCTATTACATAGTCCCGGGTGAAAAGCACAGCTGGCGACTGAGACATCGTCAGCAAATGCTCGCACTTTCGGTACAGTGCGACGAGCTGCGGCTTTCCAAGTGATCGATATTCTTAAAGTTAATTAATTACCATTACAATGTCTCCAAAGCCACGCACAGGTAGATATTCGCTGTGTTTCGCATGACGTAGGCCATGAATGATACAATTACATTCGTCCAAATTGTTTGTATTCGACTCCGGTCCAAAGAAAAACCATCCATCCAGATAATTATAGCGGCAAGTGTTTGTGGTTGAATACGCATAGTAGCAGAGCCTGGATCTCCTATTACGGGTTTCCCTGGGAGCTATCATCAATGTAAAAAAACAGGTTCGTTGCAAAGGCCGGTAGAGCGTGTAGCAGCAGGATAAGAGTCTCAGTGTGTTGAAATTGTTCATAAGCCAATGCTGGGCGCACTCTCGAAAGTATGTATCCTCATTTAGACCACCAGGATAACTGTGGAATTATGAAATCGTGAGAGTGCTCTAAGTAACCTCATTTACGATACCTAATGATGACTCTCCACTGACATTGTAGAAAATCGATCCGTCCGATCCGCTTTAACCATATTGTGTGAATATGATCGACACGGTGAAGCGCCAGAATATGTTTGAAGCTTCATTTTAGACTTCTCGAGATTTTAGTGTCCTGCTCACAACTGAGAAAACTCAATCTATATCACAATTTCATTCCGGAATGTGTGAAAGGTTTAGTGAAATAAGTTGTCCGGTATATCAGCCTCAGGTAAAAATCAAGTCTACCCATACGTCACAAATGCAGCTTCAGTGTCGCTTGGCTGAGGGTCACTCCTACAAAAGATGAGCAACAGGTACGTATTCCTTTGAGGAGCATCCGGGGGCTAGACACGACAGGTTGTTCATTTAACGGTTTTAAAAGGACAAAATTACACTTGGCTAGGTACGGTGTTTGCAAGACATACGGGGATGTGGCACGGACACGGCGAATTTCACACCAAAGCGCTATTCGAGTTTGTTTGTTGCGATTGTATGTTCATGACTTTTAGATAGTTGGTATCGCTTGATAATATCTAATGTTTAGCGCAACCTTAATACTTTTTATTTTGTGAAAGAGCACAGAGTCTCTAGCGACATTTTAGTATCCATATTTGCGTGATCTGTACCTGTTGGGGGAGCGGCTAAGCGTAAGTGGGCAACATACGCACGATAAGCAACCTTGCACTTTTCACCATGAAATGTACCAAAATTACCGATTGCGGTAATCCCTTGTTGTACAATCGTAAGTTGCATCTTACTTTCGTCCAGGACTTTAACGTAAGTTGAGATGGCCTCGGATGTAGATAGACTTGGGGTTCTTTATAGACAGCTTGATACATCTACGAATACATCTTGAATTTCGAGCACCTTAGATAAGTACCGGCGGTGGT